TGCGTGTCCCGGCCGGTGAGGGGCCGGGTCCCTGCGTTCCCGCCGCCTGCCGGGCTCAGGGGCTGCTCTGTCCTGTTAGGTGGATAGGCCCCGGTGACGGGTAATTTTGTGACCTACCCCTGGGGACCCCGACGCAGCTCTGCCCCTCACTGCCCCCCACCCCATCCCCTAAACAGTCAGACCTGGACACTCCTCAGACCGACACTCTCGCGCGATCCACCCAGTTCTCTCATGTGTGTGCCCCAAGTGCAGGGGCATTGGAACTGTGCCGAAGAAACAGTCGGTAAGGAGACAAAATGACAGAGGGGGCGGGAGGGCGTCGGTTCCTGGGGACCTGGGGCCAGAGGGCGACTTCCGAGCCCTCGGAAAGTGTTCTGAGCCGCCCTGCTTCGCGAGGAGAAGGAGCCCGTGCCCCACGGACAGATGGGGACGTTCTCGCGCCGCAATGCCCTATCTGGTCAGCAGAGGTCGCTGTGCATTTCGCCCCTTGCAACCTGGACACCCGCCCAGGGAAGCCAGGGCAACGGGGAGGAATTCAGCCCGGAGGCCTGAGGTCAGCGGAGAGAAAGGGCCTTTGTCTGTCCGAGCTCGTTCCCACGGTCACCGTCAGACACGCAGGAGGACAACGGACACTTGTCCTTTCTGTTCCTCCGTGTCTGCAGAGCCAGGAGGGAGGGAAAGCAGCTTGGACACAGAGCCCCGCCGGGAGCTCAGTGAGATCATCTGTCAGACTCCGGCCCCGGACGGAAGCGGAGACAGAACGGCAGGAAAGAGGAACAGGCAGCAGGAGCAACGCCAGGCGCTGTGGGCGGGGTCAGCACCCGGCCTGGCCGCTGGACCACGGGGTTTGCTCCGGGGGTTGGGGTCCCGGTGAGAGTGCGTCCAGGGCGGGGCTGCCCGTCGGGGGACTGAGCCCCTGACTCCCTCCCGGCCGCCCCACCACCCAGCCTCTGGCTCTTCGGCAGGTCCCTTCCCGCCCGGGAAGGGGATGGCCCCTCACAAAGGCCCCTCACAGTCTGGCTCACAGACAACATGGAAACTGAACTTATGGCAGCAGAGGCGGCCCCGTCCGTCTGGGGGTCACACCAAGTCACCACTGGATTCAGAGTCACATTTTTTAGAGTAAACACGTGTAAATAGCAACAGCTGTTAGGCAGGGATTTAACTGGAAGAGGAACCTAACTCTTGACCCCATAATTCCCAGGAAAACAGCATTTTTAACCTAACGGAGGTGAGACCAGGGCCTGCCATCTAGAACCCGCGAGGGGCGTGGCCTTGCAGCTACAGGGACAGGAAAATCGGCCGAAGACTCGGCCCGGACCCTGGACACACCCCACACCCCTTTCCAGGAGGCACACGAGCCCCATCACCTGCTGCTGCTCAAGTTCTCGTTTCCCAGCTGTGCCGTGGCAGGAGAAGGAAGTGTTCTCTGGACGCACGGGGCTCCGCCCCAGGAGGAGGTTGCCTGCAACCTCTGTCCCTGCCGTCTGAAAAAGTTCTACTGACTCGTAAATGTTAGGTTTTGTGCAAAATATCACGTGAACACGTGTTGAAGGGGCAGGTGGAGAAGGGGGCGCAGCGGGCACTCGGTCCACCGCAGCCTGGACACTCAGCCGCCCCACACGGCCGGCGCCCGGCGCTGCTGTGTCCTCCCGCCGTGGTCCAGTCCCGGCTGTACTTCTCCAGCCTCAGCGACCCCCCTCCTGTGGCATTTTACTCATGAGCCACCAAAGCTAGAGGAGGCTGGGTCAGGGCAGGGGGCCACCCCCGTCCCCCCCAAACTCAAGTCTCGGGGCTGCAGTAAGCGCAGAGTGGGCTTTCTGCGGCCCGGAAGGGGGCTGGGCTGGCATTTGCCCGGGGACACTTCCTGTGGGTGGCGACTGCCCAGCAGACAAGGCGCCTTGGCTGCTAAGTCGGTGCCCCTGGCCAACGGCTCCCGTCCCAGCCCAGGGCCCCCCACCTCCTTCACCAGGTGCGGCCGACTCACCGCCCGGCTGCATCGGCCCAGGGACACAGGCCAGGTCTCTCCCCACGTACTCAGTTACCTCTGGGACCTGCAGTGTTTCCCATCAGGCCCTGATGATTTGCGCTTTTGGAGAACAGTTAACGCTTTCCAGATTTACATCTTGGAAAGTTTCCACTCCTGCGATTGTGTTTATAGTACAATGCGGTCACGTCTCTCTGCAAAATGGAAACCCCCGCACGGGGGCAGCTGCACAGCAACCCCCGGGGCGGAGAGGTCAGTAAACAGGGCCAGCTGTCCACAGAGCCAGCGCGACTGGACGGCTCGCTCCAGGGACCGGCCCAGTCCCGGCGGTGCCGTCACAGCGCAGGGGCCGCCCTGAACTCTGACTGCGCGCCTGGGCGTGTCCGCCCCCCGCGCTCCTCAAAGACACACGTGCACACAGTCAGAGGCTGCAGAAGGGCAGGCATGTGACCGTGGGGATGGACACACGGGGTCAGGAGAGCAGGGACGAGGGAAATGAAGGCCAGGAGCGAGCGGGTGAGAGACAGCTGGGTTTGGGGCAAGCGCTCTAGGAACAGAAGGCCCGTGCCGGGAGTAGTGAACTCTAACCGCTCCTGTGCCCGTGGACGGCGTCCCCAGGGTGGGCGTGTGACATCAAACACAGGGCCGTGTGAGCCGCGGCGCGGCAGGCCGTCTGGAACCTGCCCCAGAACCGGTGCTCACTCTGCTGCTGGGCAGGGGCTTCTCCGCTGAATCCGGCAGGGCCCCGGGGAGTCCCTGCCCACAAACGCCGTGGTGCCTGCCGTGGCGCAGCCACAGGCCGAGAACCTGGGGACCCGGGGACAAGGCGAGGGGCCCAGAGCCTCACGGAGCCCCTTTGGTTTCTGGCGAGGACCACGGTCCACAGCAAGCAGATGAAGATGTGCTCTGTGTGGACGTGGACAATAAAGTCACCACGTGCTGGATGTTGTTAATAAAGACGTGCTCTACCTGGAGATTAACGAGAACCGGCGAGAAAAACCAAACCACAGGAGCCACAGGGCCCGGGACCGGGCGGGCCGTCTGGACAGGGCTGAGGGGGTGGGCGAAGGGACCTGGGCCAGAGTGCCCAGCGAAGGGTCACCGTGTGCAGGCTGGGGGCAGGTGCCCTCGTGAGGGTCAGCGTTGGCCAGAGTGGCTGGGAAAGCCCCAGGGGGCGGTGGCCGGAGGCAGCGCAGGGGGACTGAGGGGGCGGAGCCGTGGCGCCCCAGGGCCAGCACCGGCACCGGAGTCTGGGCTTCCTCCAGTTAGGGACCCGTACCGGTAAATGTCGTGGGCGCACCTTCCGGTCCGCGTCGAACATTGGGACCTCTGTCAGCTTCCCCGTGAGCTGCAGTCCGTCCCGTGTCCCTCAGTGAGTGTGAAGGGCTCTGTCCTGAGACCCAAGGCACTCTGGACCTCGGGCATGACAGAGTGGCCTGGGCCACACCCAGGGAGGAGAGCAGTCGGGTCGCCCCCGGTGGTGCAGGTGGGGTTTCCCCTCTGTCTGTGAGGGGCTGCTGGGGGGCCGGGGGGCAGGGGCCACCTGGAGCCTAAAACAGAGCCTGGCACCATGCGGGCAGTCAGCACCAGCCGGCCACCACCCAGAGAAGGTCTCACGGCACAGCAGGGAGCTTCTGGTCCCCTGGGTCCCCATGGAGTCTCTCACACCTGCACTGGAGTAGGGGGGGCTGCCAGGTGCGGGACAGGTTGTCCTGGGCAGGGCCCGAGTCACAGCGCCCCAGCACGGGACACCCACCCCAGCAGCATGGGGCGCAGAAGGGAGGTCCCCAGTGTGCCTCGCTTGTGACCTCTAAATCATCAGGCACGATGAGCTCTCGTCCACAAACATCGACCTGCCTGCGGAGGTTAAACAGCAACCCCCCTCCACGCTCGCTGGCTGATGAGAACCCAGTGCAGGTGAGCTTCTCCCGCTCGCCTCTGGGGCCAGGAGCCGCGTTCCGACTCCCTGTGCAAACTCCCAAACCAGCAGGGAGGAGTGCTGGAGCTGCGGGAGAGTTCGGAGGTGGTCACGTGTTTGCAAGACAACCCTGTGGACAACACTGTGAGAAACAGAGAGTTTGGCCGCTGGCCCCGAGCCCCCCCTCGGCTCAAATATTCTCTTAGCCACGTCCCCACCCGCACCACACCCCTGCCTAATAAAGGAAAACAAATAGGTTTGCGAAGAACCTTTATGACTTAACAGGAACACCCTGCTCTTGCTGAGTGCAAACTGTGATAAGAAATGTTTGGGTCAACACATCTCACACCCTCGTGGGGAGGAGGCTGAGTGTGGACACACAAGGGCACTGGGTGTCGGGCCCTGAAGGGCACCCCTGCAGGACACAGGGACAGGGGACAGGGAGGGGGCGGCAGAGGCGTGACCCTCTGCCCCTCAGACCTGCAAAAGGACTCTGAGTCCCCGTGGCTCCGCAGCTGTCGCTGGAAGGGCCCTCGGGCCTTATCAACGTCCTCGTCCCAGGTGGGCAGACCGACCCCGGCTGGCAGGGCTGCCGGCCCGGTGAGCCGGTTTCCCAGCGTGCGAGGCCTCACCCCAGGCACTGCCGCGGGCCCAGGGAGAGACAAGCCACACCACACAGACTTCGGGAGTGCTGGCATTTTCCAAAGATTTTATTCACCGAGTTGGATACGGACGCACACGTTTCACGCCTGGGATGGGGGTCGACACGGGGCCTGAGCAGACGACAGCGGCGCCCAGAACTGGCTGGTCCGTCTCCTACGCAGCCACAGCACAGGGCGAGGGGGGCCTGAGCGCGCAGCGCACCTCCCGCTGTAGGTCCGTTCAAAGCGGGCCACTCGGCTCCAGGAAAGCGCCTGGTTGCCAGGACGGCACTGGAGGGCTGGGGCCGCGTGTGGTCCGGGCGCTGTCCTGGTGGGGTGTGGGGAGGACACAGCCACCCACAGAAACTCCATCGCAGCGGACACATGTGCGCACACAACCCCTTCTGAGCACTGGTCCTCTCCTCGTACACAACAATAATGCAGAAGAAAGGAGAGAAGAGCATCCATTTTTAATGCAAAAATAAAACATTCTGTAAGCTAGGAAGGCATCTGAAATAAGACAGAACACAAAGTAGCACTTCTGTTTACATTCACCCCCGGGAGGTGTTACAACAGATGAGGCCCGGCTCCAGGGAGAGGCAACACCCAAAGACCATCCCGAGCAAAGCCTCTTAGCGGAAGTTGCCCAGGAGACCAGTGGCTGACCTGCTGCCCCCAGAATATAACCAGCGTTGTAACAACGAAGCAAGCAGGAATGGAGCAGATGATTGTTTTCTCAGGTATTTGTAACAAAGCTGATACAGAAGACCATTGTAACTAAGTAGCAAAAAGGCTTCCACAGCGTTTGTGTTCCTGAAGGAAAAGAAACTCAGAAATAAAATCACCAAGTTCCAAACACAGCAAGGGAACGAAAACAGAAAGAAATTGAAGACACGCCAGCCCATCCCCTTGGGTTCCAAGAGAGCCTTGATCGACCACAGAAAAGTCACCGCTGGTCCTCGCACCCAGAGATCGGGCCCTCTGGTACCCCCGCGTCCCCTTGCCCGAGGACCGGGAGTGGCTGTCCTGGGTGCATCAGCTCCATTTCACAACTGATCCCAGATGGAAATCGCTTCTCACCAACTGTGTCACAGCGGACGGAGAGCATCACACTGAACGTGGAACGCATTCTGCAGAAGAGCCGCTGCCCAGCCCTGTCCAGTCCACAGTCCTGCTCAGGGCCGTTTTGCCGTCCATGCAACTGGTGCCAACCCTGCGGCTTCTCCCCTAACTGCCCCACGGAGCAAAGTCAACTGGTCCCCGTGGCCTGCCCGGTCCGGCAGTGTTTGCTGTGACAGTCCACACAGAACTGTGGGACATAACATCCCGCACCCTGTCCCTGCCCCCCCAGGTGTCTGTGTGTGTCTAGACAGGTGCAGCCACCCACACCTGACATCCAGCACTTTGTCTGGAAATGGTGAACCCCCCAGGAATGATTTCTCAAGTCAAATCACACTAGTTATCTTCCATATGCAAGGAATGAAAAGATTAGCCCGGTTCCGTGTGCTATAAACACTTTAGTTAAATGATAAAAGTGCGGACATATGCACTACGGCATGAAACACACATTTGCTTTAAAAGAACATGATTTGTGTCCTGGCTGGTGTAGCTCAGTGGATTGAGCGCGGGCCTGCAAAGCAGATGATCTTGGTTTGATTCCCAGTCAGGGCACATGCCTGGGTTGCAGGCCAGTTCCCAGCAGGGGACGCATGAGAGGCAACCATACATTGCTATTTCTCTCCTCTCCTTCCCTTCCCCTCTAAAAATAAATGAATAAAATCTTTAAAAAAAGAACATGATTTGTTTCCTTTTGCTCTAAGTCCTTTTCCCACCAGAATTCTCAGTCTCCTCCGACAAAAGGCCAATGGACCACACCACAGGAGGCCTGTTCCTCTCCTGAGATGACGAACCAATTTGCTGAGTCATCTCCTCCTCGGTTCACGAGCCAGCATCCGAGTCACCTGAACTCTCACTGAAACTGTAAGTGACCGCGTCCCTCCGGCCCGGGCATCAAGCTCGAGCTGGTCACCTGCAAACACACATCACGGGAACCCATGACCGCAGACACCTTGTCCAGGGCACAGCCCAGTCCCCAGCCGCCCTCGGCCACAGAGCCTCCCTTCACAGCACAGACAAGTGAGTGACAGGAAGCTCAGCGTGACGCCGCCCCATCTCGCCCCGGGAACTGCCAACGCACGATGCCTGGCATCAGCAGAAAGCGCCTGGGTGCAGAATCCCGGTGACTTCGCCCATTCGTGAGCACTCATGTTGCCCTTGAACTCTGAACAATCAGCCAGCCCCTGGGTCCACATCAGCACGTACGGTGTTACAACACGTGAGCCGACTGGTTTGAACCCTTGTGCCCCGTCAAAGCAGTTCCACGCCGACTCCGTGACGGACGGCACTGTGGAATTCAGTTTGGAAAACACAGTGTTAACCTGACAAACTGCCTTGTGAATGTCTGTTCTGTCTCCTCGTGTCCCCGTGTCATTCTGCCACATGCTCCTAAAGGGACGTTTTGTGAGATCTGCTGCCCGCACCAGAATCACATGACGCCCGCCGAGCACGGCGGAGGCAGTAGGTCCGAGGGGAGCTCGCCTTCAGCACTGTCCACAGCAACGAGTTCCACCTGCTTTGGGGGAGGGGAGTAGTTCTCTGCTTGAGTCCATCATAAAATGCACAAGTGGTGAGACTCTCCTCCACCTACCAAGCTTAGAACAGACCAGCGCCCCTGGCTGCCAGCTCTTCCTCGCCCGGATATGCTCTTTGGTAAACATTCAGTCACCAAAGATTTAAAATGCAAGTAACAGTCAGTCCTCACTGTGCCACTGGGTATAATTATCAACATGCCTTAACTGGGACAAGTGACACCCACCTGGGTCGAACAGCGAGCGGGAGCCTTTCCAGGCGTGTGTGGGTCCGCCCCCACCTGTGACCTGCGGGCGGCAGAGAACAGGCTGCCGCTGCTTATTGGACAAGAGCTCATATCCGTCACCAAAGGTTTTTACCTCGAAGGCTTATAAATTTGGAGTGGAGCCAACCAAAACCTGAGCACACGGTGGCAGGGACCTCCTTCTCCCGGCTGTGGAAGGGCTTTACTTCGTTTTAACCCTCCAGCAAAAACACCCGTGGGTTCCCGGTGGTGGCCCATGCAGTTCACCGAGGCCCACCTGCAGCACCAGCTCTGCCCGGCCTGCTGATGGCCCAGTAAGCACTGGGGCCCCACAGGGCTCCGCCTGGCCTCCCGCACACTCCACTCCACTCCTGGATACACGTGGGTCTGTCCGCCCACCCTGACGCATCCTCCTTTGGTCATCCCTCCCCAGGGCACCCCGCTCCCTTCTGTACAGTTACCTATCCTCATGCATCCCACATCTCACACCATCTACCCCGACAAGCAAAGCGAAGAGAAAAGGAACGCAGGATGGCGAAGCGGGCCTCAAAACAGCGCTGCAGTCTTGGAGACGCTGCCACAAGCTCCTAACGCCAAAGCCTTAAACGACCATGTGGCCCTCGGCCCACCCTGCCGCTCTCCCCCTCCCCTCCACCGCTCCGTTCGCCCCCTTTCCAGTGCGGACACTCTGCGCTCCGGTTTCTGCTCCCCGGGCGATTCTCACCCTCCTCTCCCAGGAGGCCTTCCCTATCTCAGGGCTGCCGGAGGAGACGCCCAGGGGACCCCAGCTCGCCCTAATCGGGGCCCTCCTCGCCTCTGTCTGGCTTCTCGGGCAGATTGAGCACGAAGGGGAAGAGGGCGCCCCGGACATCCAGGGGGGCACCCAGCGCCTCGGCCTCGAAGCTGCCTCCCGCACCCTCCTCCGAGCCAGGCTCCCGGTCTCTCGGAGGCACGAAGCGCCAGGTGCCGGCGCGGCTCACGCAGTAGATGCTGTCGCCCAGGGCCGCGCATCGGAAGGGCTGCAGGCCTGACGGTGCGCCCGGGGGCCGCAGGTGCGCGGCACAGCGGCTCCACTGCTTGGCCAGGCAGTGGTAGCGCAGCACGCTGACCCCGCCGGCTGGCCCCGCCGACTGCGCGTCGCTGCGGCCCCCGCACACGTCGAAGCGGTAGATGAAGCCGTCCAGCGCCACCATGTCTGCCGAGCGCTCGCGGCTGCTGCTGCACGGGCACTCCTGCCACTCGTCACGGCGTGGGTCGTACTTGAGCAGGCGGTAGAACAGGGAGCCCCCGGACACGTAGATCTCTCCGTTGCAGGTGGTGGCCTCGTGCGCCACGGCGAAGGCACCCCGGGGCAGCGGGGCCACGGCGGCCCAGCGGTCGGCGCGCGGATCGTAGCGCTCCACACTGAGCAGGCACTCGCCGCCCACGGCGTACAGGTGGCCGTCCAGGGCCAGCAACTGCAGCTGAGAACGCGCCTGGCGCAGCGGCCGCACGGTGCTCCAGCGGTCCGTGGCCGGGTTGTAGCAGAAGACCTGGTCCGAGGGGCGCGCGCGGCCGTCGGGGCCCGCGGGCGCCACGCCACCGGCCACGAAGAGGTAGTTGTAGAGCACGCACAGGCCGCAGCCCCGCGCGGGCGCGCCCTCCGGCAGCCGCGTCAGCTCGTGCCACTCGCCAGCCTCCTCCTGCCAGCAGTAGACTGCGGCATCCCCGCGGCCCTCCGCGTCCTCCGACGGGCTCTGCGGCCGGCTGCCGGTTCGCTCCCCGGCCGGCCCGAGCGCGGCAGCCAGCAGGTGGGCCCGGCCAGCGCGCAGGCGACGGCGCAGGAGCAGGTCGCGCTCCGCCCCCGAAAGGCGCCCGAACACCGCGGGCTCTCGCAGCACCTCCAGGTAGTGGTCGCTCATGAAGCGGTAGGCGGCGTCCCGGAGCTCCGTCAGCCGCTGCCTCTTGGCCGCGCTCAGCACCTCCAGGCAGTTGGCGAGGTTCAGCTGCGGCGCCACGGCCTCGGTGGCGCGCTGCGCGGCGCAGGGCAGCTGCAGACGGCGCGCGCCGGCTACCACCTCGGCCACGTTGTCGGGGCGCACGCCCGCCATGCGCCCGTTGTACGCGTAGGCCAGCAGCAGCCGCAGCGCCGCCCAGCCCACGCCCGTCACCCGCAGCACGTCCCGCGACGCGCGCGCACGGAAGTAGTCGCTGCGCGCCGCCAGCACAGCCTTATGTGCCCGCAGCCGGCGGCCGGACACCTCGATGATCAGGTCGGGCTCCCCGTGCGCGGGCCCGACGCCGGGGGGTACAGGCGCAGGGTCCCCGAGCTCCTCCCAGGACGTGGGGTCCTCCGGAGACGCGGGCTCTTCCGGGAACGCGGTCTCCTCGGAGTCCTCTGGCGACAGGGCGCCGGAGCTGCCAACTTCCCACTGCCTCTCCACCACCCGCTGGCCGCTGCGACAGGAGGGCGGGGAGGCCGCTGCGCCCTCAGGAGCGGAGGCGTGGGACTGCGGCGGGGAGTCGTCCCCGGAGCTGAAGCACAGAGACGCGCTGAGGCTGCAGGGTGACTGCGCCGGGGACACAGCGCCCTCCCCCGCAGCTGCATCCGGCGGCTGCAGGCTGCCCTCTCCCGGAGCCTCGGGCGCGCCACCGCCCCCAGCCTGGCCACACACTCCCTGGGCCAGGAGGTCCCTGGGCTCGGGGTTGCCGTCGTCCCCGGGAAAGAGGACGCGGGGGGCTACGGGATTCTCCATGGCAGCGCTGCCTTCCCCTCAGGAGCCCGCCACGACTTGAGGCTGCTCAAGGTCGAAGGTTCCTCTGTGGTTTGGGGCCTCACACGCCTCTCCTGGCGCCTGATCAGATTTCACTTCTGGGTCCACTCTGGGTTTTGCTCACACGCCGCGCCCCTGGCGCCCTTCCCACCCTCCTCTCCGAGGAATAGGGCGCGCCAGCCCCAGGCGTGCTCTCCCAGAACCTAGCGAACCTGCTGGCGTTCCCCTTGGCTGGCACGTCTGAGGTCGCCGGACCTCGTCCCCAGGCCGAGTGGTGCTGCCTCAGCCGGCCCACAGGGCAGATCTGAGACCGGGACCTCAAACTTCAGGACCTTGACTTCAACTCCCTCTTTTGTAAAGAGCCACCCCCAGGGTGCTGTCCCTTTGTGTGACTCCCATTTGTCATTCTGGTTATGAAAAGTCAGCAAGGGGAGTGTCTGTCTCCTGTCCATTGATCAGCAGCTCTGGGGTGTGGCGGGGTCGGCTGTTCACCTGCCAGAGTCTGTAAGCCACTTGCCAGGTGCCCGCTGGAAGAACAGAATCACGCGCCCGTCACTCGCCGGTGGGGGCCTGGCTCACCACTTCCTCCGCTGGAAGGTCAGGAGCTCCCATATCTTCCTGTGTCACATGCCGCTGGTTCCTGTGAGAGAAAGAGGATGTTGAGCCTGCGTTCCTCCGGACTGTTTGTGCCGGTGGCTCTTGTCCCACTTCCCGCCACAGGTCTCAGGTCACAGAGGTCAGTCCAGTGGGAGGGGCCTGATTTTACCTCTGGACAGTTGGGGGATCAGATCTACCCAAGCAACAGGGATTTTAAAATGCCCCTCGCTGCCCCTTCCTGGCATTGGGGATCTGTGTGGGGGGACTCAGTTTGGGCAGCAGGCCTTAAACGCACCAGGCTCGGCTGTGGGCCGTGACCGAGTCTGCGGGACAAAGCAGGCAACTGCCCAGTCTCCTGTGTTCAACCTGGCGAAACGCACTCAACAGAAAACTAAGAAGGCGAGTGAAGAGCACAGCCAGTCCCTGTAACCTCACCACTTTACGACCCCGTGGCCCTGTCCCTGCCTCCTCTCCCAGCCCTTATCTCACCTCCGGTCAGACAAATATTTGGAGGCAGGTACAGACTTGGAGACAGGTGCAGGGGCGGGTCCCTGCAGCTCCAAAGACACCTGACCTGCTTGTCTCTGGACTCACGTATGTGGAGAGCCTCAGAGAGGCTCGCAGAGAAGTTCTCATGCAACAAAAGAAAAGCCAAATAAAACCAAAAAAGCCACCCAGAACCCAGAAGTACTGGGAAGGCAGCTGTGAGGACCTGCAGGTGAACCGCAAAGAAACATCTTTCCTCACGTGGCCAAACCTCCCTGCAGACTGCGTAGCCGGGCAGGGCTCGGGGGGCTCGGGGGGCTCAGGGGGCTCAAGCCCCAACGCTCGGAAGAAGAGGGAAAGGGCGAGAGACACTCAGGCTCGGGGGGCCCCAGGAGGCGCGTCTGCCTCTCAGAGGAGACGAGATGGCGCTCACCCACTTGCAACGCCTGCCAATTCCCAGCTCATCATACTCCATACCGTGCCCTGACCCCTGGGCCCGGCATGTGCGTGCCTGCGTGTGCCTGCGTGTGCGTGTGTGTCTGCTTGCCCAGCTCTTCCTGCCACAGTGTCAGTGAAAACCTCTCTCTGGTTATTCTCAGACACGAGATGTGCAGCGCTCCCTCTGTCCCTCCTGACACCTTTAACGAAACGTCTCTGTGGCACGTTCAGGACGTGGGAGGCGCTGTCCCAGGACCCAGGGAAGCGCCGTGAGAGCTGCTGCGAGTGACCGGAGCCCCAGGGCCCCTGGAGGCGGGGGAGGATGCTGAGCAGCTGCTGAGGGGACAGGACAGGCTGTTTACTCAGCTGCTGCCGCTGCCCTGCGATGCCACCTCAGCTCCCCGGTGGCCGCATCCCCCGAGAGGGGGGAGAGCACAGGCCCCCGGCGCCGGAATGCGACGACAAGCCGGAAACTGCGGAGGTTTTGTAAGCGACGCTCGCTGGCACTGTCCCAAGGACTCGGCCGAGTCACTGGCAGGAGAGCCAGGCACAGGCGAAGGTCCGCTCACCCGCCTCCCCAAGTGCTCCCGACTCTGCACGTCTGAGACAAAAGCGGGGAACGGCCCTCACCCGGCTCTCCTTCTCACGCTTCTGCACAACACACAAGGCCTTAGGCCTCCGGAAACGTGCTATTTTTCTTTTTCCTTTGGCCTGGACCAGGTCCCGGAACTTCCCATTCTCTCTTTGCTGTGGCTCATTAGAAAGTGCCAGAGCCACAGCCGGAGCACTGCCTGCAGGCCGGCACCCGCGGGACACCGAGGCAGGGGGGTGACCAGGACCTTCCCGCCGTGGCCGCCACGTTCCCCTGGAGGATGACGCTGCCCGGAAGGAGAGGTGGTGCCACGCGGTGCTGACAGCAGACCTTCCGTGCAGCACACTCACACGCAGACACACGCACACGTTCCCACCAGACACCCGTCCACTTCTACGCCACGCGGACTGTGCCGCGCAGCGGGTTCTGGCCCCTTTTGTCCACGTGTGTCTCGTGGCCGGTAGCTTGGTGGGAACTCCCGTGGAGGCACCCTGTCTACCCCCGGGCAGGTAACGGGGGGCACTTTGCAGCAGAGAACGTGCTGGGGCGCTGTGTCCGGGGGGAGCCACGGCCTGTGTGTGTCGCTGCTGGACTCCAGCCCGAGGGCCCTGGCTGAGGGGGCGGGACAGGAGCCCCAGACTGCGTGGTCGGCCGCGCCCAGGCTCTGCCGGTCTGTGCCACGCCCTCAGCCACCTCTGTCACCAGCTATTTGGAGGACTGGGAAGTGCAGCAGGATTAGGGGGACGTCCAGCTGGACGGCAGGCCGTGAAAATCTGTCGCGCAGGCTGCCGCGCCTCGTCGCCGGACCTGGGACGTTTTCCGGTTGAGTTCTGAGACGCCCTGCGGAGCTTCCTGGCTCAGACATGTCTTGGTTGGTGACGTGACCACATTTGAGAGTAGGAGGCAGGTGACAGCTGACTGCTGGCCGCTCAGTGAGGAGCGCTGTGTGTGGAGACGTGTCAGCCGGCCTGGGCCCTCTTCCCCTGCGAGGTCTCGGGCTCCCAGGGGGTCTGCAGACCTGTCTCCCAGTGACTCAACGAAATGACAGAGAAAAGAGCGGAACAAGGAAACCCCCATTTTCACGGGACAAAGGAGAAACAAAGGGACCAGGCCTCGCTGGGTCTGAAATCAAACTGTCCTCCTTCCCAGCCTCCCAGGCCGTCAAACCAGACGGGTGTTTGGTGCCCAGGTGACAGCCGGGGGCACTCTCACACCTCAGAGCAAGGCCACCCAGCAAGGCTCTGGAGCCAGCGTGCAGGTGCTCCCCTCGCAGAGGACGGAGTCTGCGTCTGAGACGCAGACAGAACTCATGACCCCGTGTCCCCGAGCCCTGTGGGCGGGGCCGTTGTCCCCTGGCAGGACCCTGACAGACCCACGGACACCCCAGTGTGAAGACAGTCTGACAGCCGCAGCCCGCCCGCTGGCGCCGAGCGAGACAGACGCCGCACAAAACGAAGCGGGCCTCTGGGCCCCGGCAGCCCCGGGGGTGGGGGGCGCGTGGTGACGCAGAGACGAGAGCCAGGACGCCGAGGGCGGGGCCGAGAGCAGAGAAGCATCGCTCCCTGCACTAGAACCCAGGCGCTCAAGGCACCGCAGCCTGGGCTGCCCGCACCTCAGGGCTGGTGGGGCCGGCTCCTCTCCCGTGTCACCTGGGCTGACAGGTGCGTGGTCAAACGCCGGGCTGCACGGGCAGGGACAGTGTGTTTCACCTGAGAGTAACATGAAGTTGGAACTAAGCAAATCACCCTGCAGGATGTGGGGCCGGAGCGGGGGGGGGGGGGGGGGGGGGGGCGCCTCATGGGTGGAAGAGGAAAGCAGTGGGCGGGCCCCCAGGAGCAGGGACTCCACCTGCAGACGCCTTCGGCCGCAGCTGCAGCGCCGGCCCTGCAGGGGGCGCACTGCCCGGCATTGCCCTGGTGGTGTCAGGCTCGCCAGGCTCCACAGCAGCAGGAGCCGATTCTGCAGTGTGAACCCCTCTCTGCGCACAAACACACGTGTCCTCCCGGCTCTAACACATGGCTCCGTGGCGGCCTCCCGCACTGCCCGTCACCGTGCCGGGTGGCTGGGCAGGTGCCGTCCCTCCTCAGTGAACGGGTCTTCACTTCCAGGCAACCGAGCCCGGGGTCTGATGCCCACCAGTCACTGGCACCCAGACCCGATTCCAAAGACGAGACGTGGACCTGGCACAGAGACTCAGGACACAGCGGGTGGGGAGGGGCGAGGAGCCCAGGGGCCCAGGCACAGACCGAAGCAGGCTGCCCCCAAAGGCCGCCAGGACCTCCTCACTGTGACAGGGACACTCGTCCACTGAGAGTGGCACCCAGGCCCCTGCCCTGGGGAGCCACAGGCCCGTGGCTGCCGTGCCAGTCACACGACAGGTGAGTTAGGAGGGAGGCCTGGTCGCCCTGAGGCTGCGTGGCTCACGCAGCTCAGGGACCCAGGGAGACAGAGACACGGGGGGAGGGGCGGGCGCCTGGGCCGCCGAGCAGGGACCTGGGACAAGCCTCCGGCAACTCAGAGGCACAGACTGAGCCGCACGTCCCCCGCCCGCCCCCTAGCCCCGCTCAGCCTGCAGACCTGCCGGCAAAGCCACGTCACCGTGCCAGTCGGCTGAGTGGTGCAGGTGGCCTCACGCCGCAGGGACACACTGGTTTACGTCTCAGCTCTGGAGCCTGGACGGCCAGCACCTGGGTGTCAGCAGAACCCGGGGCCAGCAAGGGCTCGCCATGGCCGCCTGGGGAGGGCGGGGAGAGGGGTGTCTTTCCTAAGAGCACCGGACCCACAACACCACTCGCCTCCCAAGGCCACCTCCTGCACTGCACCCGGGGCTCGGCTTCCACACACGTTTGGGGACCGCAGACCTTCCGTCTGGGGTTGTGGGCTGTGGGGCGGCTGCTCACCGGGCCGTGGGCTCAGGGAAGCTCCTATGTGGACGGGGAGCCCTGGGCAGCCCACAGTCCGCCCGCCGTCAGATTCGTGTCTGTAAACGCCGCTCTGAGTACGGGTCCAGGACCCGATGGAGGGGCAGGAGTGACGTGGAAGCCCCTGCGAGAGACGGCCGCAGCCCCAACAGCAGCAGAGGGGGTGGGGACAAAGGCAGCAGGCTGGGGCCGTCCACTCAGAGGTGTCCCTCGGCTCCGAGACTTGAGGGAGAAATGGTGACAACAGCGTTGGACAGTGGCATCATGAGGGTCACCCGCTCATGAGACAGCGTGTCTACACCACTCAGCATAACGAGGCCTCGGTTCTGCAAAATTACCCCACGTCCTATGTAACCCTTCAGCCCCTGGCACACACAGCTGCACTGGTCTCCATGAAAGAACCACAATAATTAGGAATAAAAACGAGGCCAGGTTAAAACCATGCAACCCTGCCCCAGGGGGCTGCCTGGCCCCGGTCACCCCTCCAGGGAGCCCGGTCCGCACTCCGGGGCCTCTGCAGGTGCTCCTTCCTGGACTATGCCCACACCGCACCCCTCCTCATCCTCCAGGCCTCCAGAGCCTCGTCTGGGTTGGCCACGCCCTGTG